TTTCCCATTAGCTAAATTGATCTAATGGCAACTTAATGGGCTGTTATGAGGACTGATTAGTTAATATTTGTAAAAATGGTGAAAGCGCTTAGTAGTAATTTGACTGAAGTGCTTCAAAAGGGATGATAGGCTTTATTTAATTTAAATCAGACACCAGAAGTGCTTGCCCACATGGTGGGATGAAGTCCATTTCAGACTTTCACACAAACCTCTGTAGACTTGGTCTTTTAGATATTTCCCCCTTGAATTAGCTCCCTACAGGGCTACTATATATGTGTTTTCCATTGATCACATACATTTGCTGTACGTAAAATGAGATCAGAACAGAAAGTTAACCTGCCTGACACCTAGCAAAAAGTTTGTTTTTGGATAATTGTTCCCCTTCCCCACTCTTTTCTAGCAATAATATTTTTAATGTGCATATTTGAACGAGTTTGAAGGTTCTGGCTTTAATAAAATAAAATGAACACATACCAGCCAAGACATGTGTTCATTTAATTTTATTGAAGCCAGAACCTTTGCTCCCCTTTTCACATCGCACAATGGGTTGACATTGGGTTCTGTTCAGCAGAAATATTCCCCACCCTTTACACAAGCATCGACCCTGCAGAAGGCCTGTCTGAACTTGTGTGTGCAAAGCCAACTTGTTCAGCAGGGATGCAGTCAGTATGCACAACCTTGTTTTGTTTGGGCCCCTTAGATGTGGGGACAGGGTTGGGTTTTTCCTGGTTTGTGGATGTTTGGGAATGCTAATGGCTGTCTGCTTTCCTGCCCTGGTAATTGCTGTTTACCATTGTGCTGGCTCATAAGTTGGTCATTTGGCACTCATGACCTAACCAAACAGGCTTTGAAAGGGCAGACTGAAATACTTCCATCTCCCCTGCCAATGCCCTAATTTCCTTTGTCTCTTCCCTTACCCCAAGACTCAGTCTTTTATATGGCTGAGAAATGAAAAAAGGGTCCAAGCCAACAGTGCACAGGAACCTCAACTCAAGGCCACCGATAGCTTATTAGGAACCTGCTCCACTATTCGAAAGGACCCTGGAGGCAAAATTCACTTCACCCCAAAGTCTATGGGTGGTGGCTTCTTCTCATGTATTTGCTCAGGGGTAAAAGGGAGAAAGTGGCTTCATGATTAGTCTATTTATGTTAACCTTAGACTTTACAAATGTCTGTCTGTCTTAGGCACAAAATTAAGAGCGCAGAAATTGATCAGCCAGCTCCTGTCCATTAGAATGGCTGCACGTGAGTCTCTCAATCTGATTTCAGGGATTTGTAAGAGACAAATAATGTGAGATGCCAAGAATCTCTCTGAGGGACAATATCAGGGTTGAAGGGCCTGAAACTGATCCTTCAATACTCGAAGAAGCTGTAGACTTTGTGATAAAATGTTCGTCAGCTTCCCAGAACAAACATTGCCAGAGTCTAACATCTCTGGTGGGCTGCCAGCCCACAATAAGACGAGGGTGTGCTCAGGTTCTTGGCTCACATAGGTGCATCATACTTTTCTTAGCTCTGCCCATCTGCTCTATCCTTTTGAGTAGGAAAGGGGAACTGAAACCACCTAAAACTGCTGCCATTGTAGTGCTTTAGACAGAGACCAGGATTCTGGAATGTTTGAGTGCTTGGACTGCCCTTGTGAATGGAGGAGAAAAAAGGGGGATGCTGCATGCACGTGTAGTGACTTCGTGATTGCCAGTTAAACCACCCATGTGCAGGATTAGGCCAAGAACCTAGGACTTCCTGTTCCAAAATCACAGATGTCTCCCAGCTAAAGGAGGGGTTTTCTTAGCAGTTATTATTATGGTAGTGCTTAATGACCAACCAAGAGTGGGCCCCACTGTGCTAGGCACCATACACGCACAGAGTATTAGACAGGCTCTGCCTTGAAGGGTTTACAGTCTAGAGACAGGACAGATACAAGCTGGGGGAAGAGGTAGAACACACAAGTAGCAAACGTCATATTAGTTAGGGTTACCATACGTCCGTTTTTTC